GGACATGTCCCCCCCGTCCCCCCCGCTTCCTACGCCTATGCTCCACCTACTCCCAGTGTTACTATAGCCATCTGCAGAAATGAGCCACTTCCAGTCAAAAACCACCAATCAAAGCCTGGAGGAAGTTATACAAATTTAGACAAATAAAATTTATACCCAATAGTAAACAGGTATAGTAAACAAAGTCTGTCATTTTTATCAGGTAGTTTATTTAAACATAATTCCAGCTCTTGCTGTTAAATGTTACTCCAGTGAGAGTCGGTATTCAGCACTGAATTACAGCTAAGGCACCAACTCTACAGAAATAGTTGTATTAAATACCAGATGTCAAGCCATTTACATTCTGCAAAGTCTGACACTTATTTTAGAATGAATGGTTTTTCTGTGTATGATTGTTTTCATACTTATGGTGGAATGCAGACTCAGCATTCTTACAGTTAGTCTAAGCATTCAAAGATGGTATAACAGACCTGGTTATACCATCTACATTCTTACAGTTAGTCTAAGCATTCAAAGATGGTATAACAGAGGGTGCAAAATCTGGTATGTGCAGGTCTAGGGTGCCTCCAAAGTTTTCAATGTTTAATAGTATTTTATGACATTCATTCACACTACAGGCAGTATTACAGCATCTTAATGAAAGTTGGGCCAAGCTCCACTTTAACACCCCACTAAACTCATTCATCATTTGAATTTTATGTGGTGTCAGAGCATGCTCACTGACACCACATGAATGGCCTTATTCTGTCTCTGGGCTCGCTTCACTCTTAAGGAGGCCAGTGAGCACAATCAACTCCATCCTAAGAAAGCCATGGCCCTACCACAGATTTTCTTATGCCTGAAAGAATAGATACCACAGACCTTTTCTCATTCTCAGCCTTTATGGTATAGACAGATGGCTGGAAGCTTTAAAGAGGCTTACACCTATTGACTGTATTATGTTGGATATAGCACAGGATCAAGGTTATCTAGCGTGGGGACTATTTATTTCATATTTTGACTGAACTGAAGCTGTTGTACCATGAATGTGGATCCTTTTATATTTTGTGAAAGAGACTCCCATAAAATACAAAAAACGGTTTGAAAAAAGAAAATCACAACCGATTCTGCAAACAATTTACCTGAGCAGAAACAGAGAAAAGATGCAGACAAGAATTTTGTCTTGATTTGGGGTGAAGAGGAAGACGCGATGGACCCAGGTTGTAGAGCAGGGCTGGCCAAAGTCGGTCCTCAAGGGCCGGCATCCTGCATGTTTTAGTAATCTTTTCAGCTACCAGTAGTAGCTGAAAAGATTACTACTGGTGGTAGTAATCTTTTCAGCATGTCAATGTTCCTCTTAGGTCTTCTAACGAGCCAGGTGCATTAAACCAGGGAGAGCTAAAACATGCAGGATTGCCGGCCCTCCAGGACAGACTTTGGGCACCCCTGTTGTAGAGTGAGAAATTATGAATTTAATAAAGGCCAAGCACAATAATCCAGGCAGCACAGTCAAGTGGAATGTTAATGGCTCAACACTGGTAGCAACTAGTTCAAACAACTGACAACAAACTTGACGCACAAAACTCCACAAGGAACACAGGTGGGTTTAAATACACAGGGAGACAATCAGGGGAAACGAGGAACAGCTGTACTCAATCAAGGGGTAGCTGGGACAACACAGAGACTCAACAGAACACTGAAACCTAAATAAACAAACAGAAAATCCAAATCACTACAAATTTAACTGGTTGTTGTTTTTAAAAAAAAATAAATTTCATTCAATTGACTTGAACAACACCTTAACATTATGTGTTGTGTTCTTATAACCAGCAGCACCTAATTAAAATTTACCATTGTCTCATTCTGCAGCCTTTGTTCTCAGGAGATGCTGCCAGTGAGCTTTCAGGCCTGCGTAATTCCCAGAGACTGTGATGTGACTGAGTGGTCTGGATGGTCAGCTTGCTCCAAGCAGTGCTACGACCCCAATGGGACGAAAGGGGAGCGAAGTCGCAACAGGAAAGTGAGCCAATTCCCAATAGGTGGAGGAGTGGAGTGCCCAGAACTTGAAGAAAAAGAGCCGTGCAGCCCCCAGGACGGAGCGGTTCGTCCATGCACTGTGTGAGTGAACAACTTTTCATTTTACAACCTGTGTCTTCTGACTAGAAGTAATAATGATGTTCTGGAGCGTCAGCCAGAGTGCTGACTTGAACCTGGAAATCTGTGGAGGGTTCTACAGATTAAGGTGATGGATCCCAGGCCTTCCAACTCAAAGACTTAATCATAGATTAATTATTAAAATATGAGTTAAAAGATTCATTTGCTCTAATGACTAAGATAAAGAGGAACTTGTGTCAAAATCTGCCAGGAATATAAACAAATTTGATCTTAAGTGATGTTGCTAATAAAAGACTTAGTCCCTGTTTTTAATATGCCACAGACTATGTGTCCATCTCAGCAGCATGTTCTAACGTAGAATATATACTTTATGGCATCAAATAAATGTGTTTTTTTCTTCTTACCGTTTTGTGTTTGGTCACATGAAGAAGCTTAGGTTAATGTGATCTCAATCTGACACTTCATCTGCCTTCATGTGTCACCAGCTACACCTGGAAAACCACAGAGTGGACAGAGTGTAGGGTGGACATGCTGCTGAGCCAGCAGGATCGTCGGCGTGGAAACCTGACAGGGTTGTGTGGAGGTGGAATCCAGACACGTGAGGTCTACTGTGTGCAGGCCAGTGCTGTTGCTTCACCTAATCTCAGTTCACTGAGGACTAGAGAAGGTAACTCCCCTAATTTTTGGAGCCTATAGTCCTTAACATGTTATATTCAGTTAATTGTGCTGTGTGGTGTTTTAAACACTTTAGATACTGTGCCTTCTAAACATGAGAAAACCATCCCATTTAAAGTTTTCCAGAAGTCATGAAGGGGACACTGCAGTGCTAACATACACAGCAAACTCTTAGACCTAAATGTAAAACTTTTTGGGTGTTAGAAACCTATCACACAGTCTGCAGCATGAAACATGAAGGTAGCAGCATTTTCTTTTCTTCGGCTGGACAAGCAAGTTGGTGGAGTTAATGGGTGTAGTTAAAGAACAATCCTGGAAAGAACTTGTGAACACTGGTGGAGTGAAAGTACAGCCATGCAATGAAATGGTTAAATCAAAGCATAGTCACCGTTTAGAAATGGCTTAGTTAAGACCCAGCTTTTATTCTATTATTTAATATTGACGCTCTCAAACCAATCTGAATGAGTTTTCACTGAACTGCAAAGACATAAAATGTCAAGATATCTGAACTGTATCCTGGTGTACTGTAGACTGGTTGCCAGTGTTTTACAGAACAAATGGAACAAGACTTGACAACTTTATAGTTGAGCAAAAGTATGAGGCTGTAGAGGTCCTGCTTCACAAATATTTTGAAATAAATTAGCTAAAAACTAAAACCAATTTTAAATTAGATGTACAAGTTGTGTTACAGATGAGCTTAGCAACGATGGCTCATCTCTTCAGACACATGTAGGACAGGGAATTAAAATAGTGTCCCCATTACCATTCATTTGCATTTTGAGTTGCGTGCAGTGCAGTGAAGAAAGCACTGAAATGTATATTTTCCAGTAAATCAATGGTTGTGCTGAACACACAGAGCTGGAAGTGGCCTGGAAGCTTGTCCATTTTTATCCAGCATTGACACAGTAAGTATCCGTCCATCTGGCTGGTGAAACTGGCATCTGTTGCTGAGATTATTCAGATCTTATGCTCACAACCAGTGGCTCGTTTTCAGCCTTCCAAGCCAAGAATCCACGTTACTGATTCCGTTAACAGAGGCGGACAACTTCTTGGGTTTTATTCTTTACTGCTGCCTGAGTCGATATACCATAAAAAGACATTATTTTTTGTGGTTGTCATGGAGATTGTTTTTAGGTAGAAACAAGAAGATATTAATGAAGGCATTCAGAGATGTAAAAAAATCAGTAGATTCTGCTTTAGGCAATAGCCAAAAAGGAAGAGAGTCAAAGGAAGATATACAACAAAAAGGAGGAGTGGAGAATGTAGGTGGGATGAAGTGGTTCTGCCAGCTCTACTGCTCAATTTCATCTTCCTCCCTTCACTATGTCATTTTCCCTGACACCATATATGAAATCATGTCAGGTAGTATTTGGTCATACCAAGCAATAAACATAGTAGCATCTTCATCCTAAATGTTTCCCATCTCGTGCTCAAGACACTTTTCAAAAGTTACAGGCTCTCCTTCATCCACCAGCTTCACTAGTCTGAAAGTGGTTAAATAATGTCTTTTGGAATGAAATTGCCCAATTGATGGTGCGTGTTAACTGCAAATTTGGTAATTTCCTACAACTTTTTGAAGGATACATTTTTAGTTTTCCTTGTCCTTTCCACTGCCAAGGTTTCACAACTAATAGGATTCTGCAACCTAACTTTATTTTGAATATTTCCACAAAAGTGACAATTTGCTTATCAAAAGGTGTTTTGATACCTAAAGGAAAATTGACAACTGATTCATTCATTATTTGAATGTTGCAAAGGCTTGTCCTCCTTTGTTTGCCAAATAAGAGAACAGAATGCCCGACTGATCGTTGCCGAAACTAAACATGGACCTAGCAAATCTATTTTAAATCATTTTCCTTCTCAAATGTTTAGGTGTCATAAGTACACAATTCTCATTACTGATTCCTTGGAAATTCAGCACTCTCACACGGACTTTTATGTTATTTTAAAAGATCATTGTTGTGGCTCTTTCATACATAAATTTGTCAAAAAATTCAACTGTTCTTTCATTTGTAAGCTGTTTCACAGTTCTAGAAAATGTTAGCACACACAATCATTTTTAACTCCAGGAGTACCTGCAGGATATTATCAGAGTGCACGCACAAAACTATCTCTGCACCTGATACACATGAATGCAGCATCCCCAAAGTGCATCATGTTCATGGCGCACAAAACCAGCACAAACCTAACCCAAACCAATACGAACGCAATGCAAATGGCAGCAGGACACACAACGCACATAAGGCAACACACTCACACTTATGTCTGTACAACTTTTTTCCTGTTTTTTTTTTTTGACAAACTACACTAAATAATAAAGACGGGAAGCAAAACCTGCCTGTGTGATCCACTGGTGTAGGAGGATGAAGATTCGCAGGATCAGGTGTCTGAGACATCAGACAACAGAGGAGGCGGCGAAGCAATAATGTTTGCTTGATTTCTATTCTTTTTGGCAAACATTTCCACTAGATTTAGCTGTTTAGCCCACCCACAGTCTTACTCTGATGCTCAGGAAGAGTGCGGCAGATGTCACAGTCGTAGAACAAGGAAGTGATGGGGGTTTCTCATCAGCTGATTAGTTCCCAAAACCATGAAAAAAAGAAGAAAACTTGTAAAAGCATACGCTGGGTCAGTGGAAACCCACCGGCACCGTGCACATGGTAAAAAGTTCAAGTGGAGTCCACTCAACCCCTCTTCAGACTGTATGAGGGCTAAAACTCCATTTATTCAGTTTTAGATAGCTTCAGCTTAGTCACCAAGCCACTAAATAAACCAAAGTAACCTGACTAATAACATTTAGGTTAAGGACTACATGTGTCCACCCCAACAGACACACACAGATGTGGGCTTCATACAGGATGTTTTGACACAACATGTTGAGTATTTTTAATTTCTTGAGATGACGTTTTATGAATTAATGCTATATAGTCTGAATTGAATTTAACTTGTCATTAGGGACACATTTCTGTATTTAAAATTTTATTGGGACAATCTAATATTCTAAGTTTAAATAGCATATTTTCATTAACTGTAAAGTGAAAAATTACCATAATTACCAGAAAAAAAAATGCTTGAAAACATCACTCTGTGGTAAATAACTTACATAATGCATTTTATTTAGTGAAGTGAGTTATGGAAACAAATGAACGTTTTAATGATCTAATTCATTCCATATGAATGTGTATGGACACATTCTTATCAAAGAATGTGTCCATAAATGACATGGTGGAAAGCAGCTGTGCCACTGTGATGCCATGAGTCCTCAGCTGGAACAGAGCTGGGCACCAGGATACTTTTGGCAGGTGGCTCATGGAGGCGGCCTCTCTGCTCCCTAATTTGTGTCTGGAAGCACAGCACATGGGAATGCACACCATCTGGCATGAAGATACCAGAGCAAGGGCAATCTGGGGAGAAGCTTGTCAGACTTTACAGTTGTACAGATGAACAAAGGGGCTATTGTTGCTTTAACATTATTAATGAAGAAAAATTTGGGAGGAATGTTTGACTTTCCCAACCCTTCACATTTTGACAAAAAATTTAATTTTACTGGTCTAATTCAACATTTGTGTCTATAATAAAAATGTTCACATTTAGCTTTGAGTCATGGTTCCTAATAAGGAATAAACTGAAACTAGCACACTAGTTCCAGTTCTAGTGAGCTGGAGCTAGTCTGGCCTGCCAGCACTCCAGACCTGTCCCTCATTGAAAATGTGTGGAGCGCAAAATGCAACAACAGAGACCCCAGACTGCTAAACAAGAATGGGGGGGGGAAATAAATAAAACAACAATTAGTTTCCTCGGTCCCTAAACACTTATTGAGAGTTGTTTTAAGGAAAGGTGATGTAACACAGTGTAACAAAGTTGTTCTTGTCCCAACTTTTTTGGAATATGTTGCAGTCATCAAAACATAAAAAAGTGACTATTTGGATACAGCAATAACATTTTTCTGACTAACATTAAACAGTATGCCCTTGTAATGGATTCAATTCAATACTGGTTGAAAAGGATTTGCAACTCATCATAACTTTTTTTTTCCTTTATGTTTTACACAAAGTCTCAACTTCATTGGAGTTGGGGTTGTAAATTCTAAACTATTTATTGGTTTTAAAGACAAATCTTTATGGCCATAGATCTGGCACTATGAAAATAAATATTAATGTAAAATATTTTCTTGCATGAGACTGCTAGAAAATAAAGTCCTTTATTCTCCCTGGATAACTTCTGATTGATTATATTAGAACTGAGTTTATTTTTTATAGCACAGGGAAATTGGGGTCAGATCACTTTACACTAGAAGGTTAGGAGCTTACATCCACCCATCCATCCATTTTCTTACACCCTCGTCCCTAGTGGGGTTGTGAGGGGTGCTGGTACCTATCTCCAGCAAACGTTTCAGGCTAGAAGCGGGGTACACCCTGGTCAGGTCGCCTGTCTGTCACAGTAGGAGCTTATAGTAACTCAGAAACCAAACACTTCTTGGATGTGCAGTTACAGTATGGCAGTAACCATGGTAGGATGAAAAGAAATGGGACACCATTTGTTTAGATGGTAATAAAAGGGCAACCAATCATTTTACTTGATTTAACTTATCACCTTCTATAGCATTACATGTGGTTTAAGGTCGCATGACATGTACACATGCTTAAGTGTGACTATTAAAGGACACACCTCTGGGGATGGCAGTTTGCATGTGAATGAAGCTGAATACTGTTGTTGCACAGCTTGAATAATTCATCAGTCTGGCGACCTTGCAGAGAGTCACCAACACCTGACTGTATCTGAAATACACAAAGAAAAAAGACAATCTAACTCGGGTGTGAAAGTACAGTTGATCGACTAATTTATGTTTGTCAGAATGCCTCAATGATTAGTCATGATATTTATGTTTTTTGCTGTTCTATTTCTTTTCTGATGTGTTTTTGTTTTTTTGTAATTGAGTTTGCACAGCTACTGCTAGTTCATTCATCGTTTGTGTTTCTCCATAGGTTTGCGGCCAGTGGACAGTGAACTGTGTTTGGGAGTTCCTCCGAATACCACACAGCTCTGCCATATCAGCTGCCCTGTGGAATGTGAGGTGTCTTTGTGGAGCTCTTGGGGACCTTGCACTTATGAGAACTGTCAAGACCAGACCACTAAGAAAGGTAAGAAATTGCTGGGTAACTTTGATTGGAGGTGTGTAGTGTACACACCTTCTTAGAATGAAACCTCACTGTGGAAGCCACAATGCATTATGTTCAGCTAGAGGTCATGTGTTAGTGACCACTAACACATGGTGGGACATTCTCCTTTAGGATTTTCTTTTGTAGACAGCAGAATTTATGGTTCCATTTATTACAGAAAGTTTTCCAGGTTCTGAAATCAAGACAACCCCAGATTATCACACTACTGCCACCATGTTTTACAGTTGGTATCATGTCCTTATTCTGAATTGTTGTGTTACTGTTACACTAGATATATTGGGACACCAGCCTGGTAAAAACCAGCCCCTTCTCCTACACTGTTTGCTTCTTTCAGAGGGACTGGACTCTCAGCTGTTGAGAAGCGATTGCTTCCTGGAGGCATAGTCTCTATTAAGGTTTTAAATTTTACCAAATGGCTGACATTTGGCCTTGACATGTGTAATTTACCAGTTCCACACTAAGAAGGTTACCAGAAATTGCCTGTGCTGTAAACAACCATCCTCCACTGCAAAGAGAGAAGTGGCATGCCGAACGAGACGGCTGTTAATATTAAGGCAGTATTTGGAAGAGTGGCCAACATGGACTGAACACCTTTCTTCACTTCTTCTGCTGCCATTGCTAAAAGTTCAGAACTACTACAATTGTAAAACAGAGCAGAAAGTCAACATCATCCATCACTACTTTGCCTTCTGTTTGCTGATTGGCCCGGTTCAAATTCTAATCAAGTGGAATAAGGCAGGAGGAATGGCCAAACTACAGGGTCACACACCTCCCAAAGACAGAATCGGTTCCCTACTGCTTACATTTAAACAGCAATCTTAATTATGCTTCCATGGCACAAATATGACTGGCTACTTGATTTGGACTCCCTAGAGTATTACTGTCTATGAGGAAGAGCAGTTTAATATTCCTCACACCTGTTACACGCTCAGCTTGGGAGAGTGACATGTGCCTTCTAACAGTCCAGTGGTGGTATGCTCCTTTTATTTGTCACACCACAACTGTGTCTATCAAAAATAATTTATTTTCATCCAACCTTTTTTGAATTTTTTTCAGAATTTTGCAGATAAAACAAGATGTTTTATCTGCAAGACGTTTTGGCTGAGGGAACCAGTAATGGCACAAAATGACAGTTCAGCAGAGAAAAAACAGGAGAAATGGATTTACTTCACAGTGGGAGAGATTGAATGATTTATGAGATGCATGCTTTAACAATGTTAACCTGAGAAACATATAGTACACATAAGAGAGGTATCTGAAGGTTAACAGGCTAATAAAAATCAACCATCAGGCTAAGACTGTTTATCTGACAAATATCAGTCAATAAAGGAGATTTTAACCTTGTATGAACTCTGCAGCTTACCCAGTTATGTGACGTAGATAAGCTCACCTAAAACACCCACAGATACCCATTCCAAGACTGTAGATTGTTAGGCCTATTCTTTGTATAAAATTTGACTCTCCATTCTAAAAATCTTCCAATAATGACAGACTGCATGTTTCTGGAAGCATTGCCACTCCAGCCATAATTACCCCCTGAAGTTACAGCATCTACCATGACTAATGCATGTTGACTCTGCTTTAATGAAGTGCTTTAAATGAAAGATATGGTAGTAAATTCTCTTCCATGCATCTTAATGATGGATCCAGTTGCTCACTGTGCCACTTCTACTTTCACTGTCAAGCGCTGTTCCTTTTGCCAAGACAACGCACACAAGTGTGTGCGCGCACATACACATATACACACTCACGTACACGCACATAGACTTTCATGTCTGTCTAGCCTTGCTCAAAATACCACAGACATAAAATAAAAGTGTTTCCTACTGGCTGCATTAGGACTTATTCCTAAACCTTTGAAGAAGAAGAAGCAGTTTCATGTATGATTGTAAGCCAAGTTGCATCTCTGACTGTGTAAAAACTTTAAAAAATGAAAAAGAAACATTGAATGCAGGAAGCCAGCCTTACATAACTATGCAAGGTTGGACATGCACTTTGATCAAAGGAAGTGTTCTACATCTACAAACTTTATTTAGTTAGGTTTATTTTCAGCTATATTTTGTAAAAGCACGACAGAAGAGGAGGATTAAAACACCTAATTTCTTTTAAGACAATGGCACACAACCACATGAAAAGCAGGAGAATATTTACTCGGAAGATTGATTACTGAATGGAGAAACAGGTAAGTTGATTAGTGATTGAAGCTGTTGCAGGTGGGAGCTGCAACAACTGAGGGAAACTAATAGTGACAGATGACAGAACCAAAACGGCTACCCATAAGGCAACACAAAGATGAGAGTAAACTAAATAAGAGCACATCAATCTGCTCAAAATACAAACCTAACGTACAAAACAAATACATGAATAACAAGCAACAAATACTAGAGAAAAAACATGAAAGTGAAGACTCTGCAGGTCAGTGGGAATGGAATAGGACATTAAAATTTAACAAGGTATAACCAAAAATGCTGGACCACACAACCTTCACTGCTTCTGCTTACACATTACATACCTGAGAGTGTCATGATCCGTGTTTCTGTGTATTTATTTTAAGGTTTTTCTGTGTTCAGTTTCTGTCCTGAGTCTCTGTTGTTTCTGTCTTCCCCGTTGATTGCTTCCCAGGTGTGTCTCATTCCTTGATTACCCTCCCTGTGTATTTAGTCCCACCTGTTTTTGTCTCTTGTCGGATCCTCGTCGTACGTCATACCTTGTCTGTTCCTCGTCCGTTGTAGTTTTCAGTTCAGTTTCTCAGTAGAACTGTTAGTCCTGAGTTTCTGATTATTTCGTCGTCACAGTAGAACTGCTTAAGTCCTGTGTCGGCGTTGGCTCTGTTGCTCAGTCTATTGCTACCAGTGTTAGGTTTATTTTCCGCTCATTGTGCTGCCTACTTGTTTTGACTGTTTGAGCTGCTACCTTCATTAAATTCATTATCGTCTTCATCTGGGTCGCCACGTTCTATCTCACCACCACCAACCACGCTTCCTGACAGAGAGATTATTTCACTATTCTTCCGGCAGGGGGGATGATTATTAAAATCTCTGGAGTTTTGCATTTAAATAAGAAGCTCCGGAAAACAGCTGTTAATATAATTATTTTGATAGAATTTTTTATTTAATTATGTCATAGCAGTTTATAAGATACAATGGCCCAGTTCATATCCAATTATAAATTCAAATCTGTCCATACTGATCAGGTCAATATCAGTTCAGTCCACTTCCATACAATCAAGGAAGATTCAATGAAATCACTGCCATAGAAACATAATACAGATTTGAACACCACGAGTATTGAGTAAAATGTAACATTGTATAGCTAAGGAAAGTAACAGAACACATGAAAAATGTCCTTTGATGCCATCCGCCGTCCTGATCATTGAGTGAAAGTAAAACAAAATTTCCAGCCCAACCAGGATTGGTATTAGGAGCCATCTTGGAGCTGAGAGGATTTCTGAAAACTTCAAAGTTTGAATAGATGCCAGCTAACAGTAACTACTGATAAAACATTCCTTAAATAACAAGTAACTGAGAACATATTATTTTCCAATGATTGCGCACAATTAAGTATAAATTAGTGCATATGTAGCAGCTGTGAATTAGCTAAATGCAGTCAGAAGCAATGACAATGCCAGCAGTCCCATACGATTGTGCCAGAAAAGATGTAGGCTCCCACATACTTGGGCGTTCCTCACTCTGCAGAGTGTCATGCATTGTCAAAGCAAACTCAGTGGGAATTCATAGTGGACATCCGCTGGACACTCCCACACAGATACATTTTTACAACCACTTATGCATACTCGGTAAACTTCTTGGTGGGAAATTGTGTTTTCTACCCAACTGTTTTGTCAGTGACACAACTATGAGGTTGAAAATCAGTGTAAGTAATTGCAAGAATACACATCAGCCACCCTGCCACTTTGTGCTACACTAACGGGTGTGGAGTGACTGACCTGGTGGAGAAGAAACAGGGTCAGGCAACCAACTAGTTCTGTAAACTTGCTAGTAACCATTAGGATTGAGGGAAATCAAAGAATTTTTCACAAGAAAAGTATGATTGCCACTTGAGTTCTTGTTGACTTGACTAAGACATCTCAACAGGAAACTGTGGGTGAAGTCTGTGTGGTTCACAGAACACGTACAGGAGTGTGTGGTAACTTTTAATATCAAAAACATTTTCTCTGTTCGAAAACAGAAGAATTGAAGTTCTGAGTTCACACTAGGAAGCCTACCATGTTTTTTTTTGTCAATATGTTAAAGGAAAAGCCTCGCAAAGTGGATTCTGTGACACACTAAAGAGATTAGAGAACAGACTAGCTCATTTTTTTTAATCATTGAAAGCAGGAGGCCAGCCTTGCATAACTATGTAAGGTTGGACATGCACTTTGATCAAAGGAAGTGTTCTACATCTACAAGCTTTATTTAGTTAGGTTTATTTTCAGCTATATTTTGTAAAAGCACGACAAAAGAGGAGGATTAAAACACCTAATTTCTTTTAAGACAATGGCACACAACCCTATCTATTGTGATTTCAACAATCATTTGCCCAGGTATCATTTTTTTGAGCTCATGCCGTGTTCCAGGATCCATTCTATTCATGCACCTCTAGTTTGGAATTTCTTACAGCTTGTTCTATAGACAGACTCCAGGCAGAACTTTCTTCTTGTTTGGTGTTCCACAACTGCTATATACAAATGCTGCTTTAGGAGAAACCTATCAGGACTTCCACTTGAGTTCTTGTAAAGTATTACATTTCCTGTCCAAAAATAACTTAGTTCTTGTTATAACCACATGTAATAAAAGAACTCAGCTTCTATATTCTATATCAAGTTCTGTGTTCTTGTATGGAGTGTTAAAATGCTTATTTGCATAAATAAAGCTAACCTTTGGTTGTAAATTAGCTTTTCTACAACTTTTTGTTGATAAAAATGTTTAATTTTCCTTACTTTACAGCACACCCAATGATTGTTAGTGCTCAATGTTTGAAGATCATTTTCAGTGTCCTGTTTCCTACTACATGAGATGGTACAGGGTTTTAGAAGCTAATTCTTCAGTTGTATCAAACTCAGTTAACCTTTTTATCCTTTTAACCATTTCTTATTTTGTTGCCTGGCAATGTACATTAACTGTGATTGTATTAATGTATATGAATTTGTACTGAAAATGAAGCCCCTAGGTCTATCAATGGAAGCATGTGTTGTGTTGCTATCTTTCAGTCATGCAAATCATTAAACCCCCTGCAGATAGCTAGAGAATGAGCCCTAAATTGAATTTCTCAAACCCCAAACCTCATTTTTCTCCAAACAAAGCTCCCTCACTCCCCCTCCACACCACTTATTCTCCATCAGATAACACTTCTGTCAGTGAGTGCAGACACAGGATGGTTCATGTCCAGCTGACCTACTGATTAAATAAAGGATTTTCAAAGGAAGACAAAAAAATGAAATGGAACCTGTACCACAAAAGTACTCCAGGGGGTTGCTGCCTTATCTGACAGGAGCAGGAATGTGAAATAAGGGGGGTTGACCTTGGCTAGGGTGGAAAGAGCGTCCTGAGGACTTGACTGTGGAATGTCTTGCCTTAAGCAGCACAATTGTGAGAAGTCCAACTGAATTAATGAACTATAATGACAGTTTGACATTTTGGATGAACATGGTTTTAATGAGTGAAACACTGGAGCACTCATAGAGGAGAAATTCTAAAAATTTTTACTCAATTTTAGATTTATAATGTTTTTTGCTGTTACATGTGTCAGTCATTGAATTAATGTGAGCCATGACATTGTCATGGAGCATATTAGATTTTGAATCATTGCTGTACGTCCTCACTCATGGAAAGACAGGAGGTGTTTATAATCTTTGACCTGGTTGGGTCAGTTTACTTGTCTCATTGTGGAAGTCAATATGTGTCATCAGGATTTGAATTAAAATGGCACTGAAATTTTAATGCATGTTTGTGCTTATCTTTCAGTGTTAAAATATATTTAGAATATTTTTTTTACCTGAAAAAAATCATTGTCATTATTTCTACATGGTTGATATCTAATTTAATTTAACTTCAAGCTAAAAAGTCACATTGCTATTTCAAATTGATCGCATTTTCAATTGCTGTTTTCCAGTTTAACTTTTCAGTGTTAAAAAAATTGGCATACAAAAAAATTCAACTTGTCAAAATTCAAATGTAATAATTTCAGTCTCCTTAGTTTCAACTGGCTCATTTCACTGCCTGAAATTCTGCATCTACATTCCAGATATGAAGCTGCTTCATCCATTCCCATGAACTATGATTCATGTTCACTATCCCATGAACTATTCCACCCCTTGATCAGCACGTACTCTAGAAACAAGATATGCAAATGACTTAAAGTTTGCACAATTATATAAAAGTATGATATGCATGAATTAGAAATTTGAGCAGAGCTCAAAAATTCTTTCTAACTGGGTTTCTGTTTAAAATTCAGGCAAACTAAGAGTAAGAGATGAAAATTTGTCAGCCAGGGTGCTTAAAAACATCACAGACTTGGGATTGAGAAAAAAAAAGGTGAGAATAGATAAACAGGGCAAGGGTTAATAAATAAATGGATGCAGAGTAAAAATATGGCACATTTGCTCTAAGGACAGACCAGGGATTTGTTATTGGCAGACTGTCTGCAAAATAATCGTGACGTTAGTTATGGTAAATTTGATATCTGGTCATGTGAGTTTACTTAAATGTAAGCAGTTTTACACACCAAACACTTCCAGAATTAGTATGTCAATGAAGGGAACAAACTCAGAATTAAAGCTGCAAGCGGTGTTGGAGGACCTCGCAGCAAAGCTCTCTGAAGGCCTATTGGCAACCGCCGGGGTTCCAGCACCGCCACTCTCTTGCCACCGCCAACGCTCTGGCGCAGTTCCCGCAGCTATCCACCAGGTGACACACACCTACGTCTTCCGCAGCGCTCCCTGACACAAACGGAGTCGATCTGAATTGCAATTTCAAACTATTGGGCTCTTTAGAGGCTAACAAAGGTCAAGCCTGACAAGTTTACTGTAAATAAGATGAGACATGTATGATTTTGAACAGTCTTTCTTCCAACACAAAGACTGCTCTAATAGTTCCTTCCAACAAGTGACTTCCTGTTGGAAGGGGGCGTGGCTAAAGTGATGTCACCAATTGAATGTGATGAGCTCTGCTCTGTGATGATACCAATGAAGTTTAATGCAATTGGGAGCTTCTATTGGGAAGTTATTCCATCTTGATGTTTCATGGCGAATGGCCAGATTTGAGGCTTGGCCACGCCCATGTGCTTTGACACAGGAAAATTCCTTTGATAATTTTTGACTCTCAATGCCTCAAGACTGTGCTGAGTGAGTTTGAAGCCTGGATCTCAAAAGCTCTAGGACGAGTTCACTCAGATACGATGTCAATAAAATAGACAAAATGGCGACTTTGATCCAAAATGGCCAACTTCCTGTTGGGTTTGGACCATAGCTCCTAGAGACGTTTAGATCCTGACAAGTTACACATGTGTACCAAGTTTCATAATTCTGGGATAAACCATTTAAAAAAAATATTCTAGGGGGCGCTGTGGAGGAATTAGGCCACGCCCACCAAATTTTGCACTGGATTCCTGTTGGCGGATGGACAAGGATCAATCTCAGTGAGTTTGGTGCAGCTGGACTAAAACATGTGGAATCTAGAGCAAAACGTATGGCGGAGGTGTGACCTGTGACTTCGCCGTGCCCTCCACGGCCACGCCCTCCACTGAAAACTCTGGGCGCTTTAAAGCAAGTGAGACCAGTTTGTTATCAGTCATCTCACACAAGATCATCTTGATTAGGTCAAGAGAGCCAGAGTTGTATCTTTCCAAGTAAAAAAAATTCACTTCCTGTTCTGAGGAGGCGGGGCTTAGGTGAGGTCAGACTGTGATGACATAGGATCGTTAGGATTCCATCCAGGATCCCTCATGCCAAGTTTGGTGCCAATTGATCTTTTTATGAGAAAGTTATAGCGTTTCGTATCGAGTTTCAGATCTCTATGACCTTCGGTTTCCCCCAACTCATGTTAGGGGGCGCTGTAGAGCAGCTTGGCCACCCCCACTTGCAATTCCACCAGAATCCAAACATTTTGGTTGGGGGACAATTTTGGGTCAAGTTTGGTGAGGTTTTGAATATGTTAAAGGCCCCAAAAAGCCGCGCGAAGTGACGGAAAAAAAAAATGAATAAAATAATCGAGAAATCTTGCGACTACAATAGGCCTTCACCATCGCTTCGCTGCTCAGGCCTAAATATACATTTAAATTTCAGGGGCATTTTTAATTCAAATTCAGTTACACATGTTTATGTCCATATTTCATTATTTGCTGTAATGATTCCTGTTTTTCTTTAACAGGTTTTAAACTGAGGAAGCGAAGGATCATCAATGAGCCCACAGATGGGACAGGAAACTGTCCTCATCTAGTAGAGGCCATACCGTGTGAAGACCCCAGCTGCTTCGAGTGGCTTGTGGTTAAACTGGAGGAATGTGTCCCTGACAATGAGAAGGAGTGTGGTCCTGGTATGCAAATCCCCCAAGTCCAGTGTATCAACAGTGATGGTGAGTGAACATAATAAACTAGACTTGTGAAACTATTTAACATGATAGAGCTCTTTATCAGATAATAAAAATCCAAATATGTTGCTCTTGATTGGAGGTTCATTGTAACAATGCTTTTTAAAGTCTCTTGTACCTCACTGAAACCTTTCTGCATTCTGTTAGCCAGGAATTTTTCAGATCTTTAAGCTCATAAAGACCTTCCGACCCCTGGCCTGATCAATCATCATTTGATGTTTATTACAGTAACTTATGGCAAACACTGAGTAGCCATAAGTTACTCAGTGAGAAGAATTGTATGAATGAATGCATTTAAACAGACCCAATCTGGACAGCTGACATGGAGACACTGAAGTATTAAGCAATGGTCTTCAATTTGTGAAACAAGTACTCAAGTCAAACTGGTATGAACACTCAAATAAATGCAACTGTGTGTTTGACATTCTTGTAAAACAAAAGATACTGTCTGTTCTCCATTTGGACTTTATTGTTTCCAATTCCTCAGCCAGGAAAGTTGATATTATCTCATCTTGCAACTAATTTGCATATTTGATCATGCGTGATCAATGTGCTGTAAAAGAAAAAAATTGAATATTGGCAAGGCAAAAAGTGATTAAAAATACTGAAAATATGCTTAGAAGTTCGTGAAATTATTTAGTAATATTATTATTTTAACTGAACCTATAGTGCATAAATCAGTTTTGCATAATATCAAATTATGATGATGTATGAGGCACACAGTGAAGGCACACAGTGGAAGAGTTTAATAAGAGACTGTGTGACTCAAATAAAGGCATTTTTTATGTGGATTAGTTTCAGAGAGAAAACCCCCCTTTAGATTGCCAAAGGTTTCATCGCTTACATGGACACAAAATGGTGCTCAAAATGAGAGTTCATCTATGAAATTGACGGAAGATGGGACTTTCGGTCTAACTGGCAAAGAGATGGCAGCATAGGGCAACAAGCTCCTGACAATGTTATTAAAAACAATTTTCGACGACTCAAATTCAATTGGTGATGCATGACTAAAAATAATAATGAAGGATCACGCCCAAGAAAAGTAAGAAAAAAACGCAGCTCAAAGAAAAGACAACAAGAAAGTTTAGCTTAATGAAGTGGCTGGTGAAGGTATATAATTATTGGACTGAAGGTAAAATTTGGTGTCGATCAGTATTTAACCATATTTCTGAAAATATTACTTGTAGGATAGACATAACATTGTGTTGTAAAAACCTTCACTTTAGTGTCTGCACAAATGAAAAAACTGATATTTTATAATATTTATCATTACCATTTCAGACAAGCAAAATGGTTTTGCTCATCTGAAGGATTGGTATACTCTTGAAGAATGTGAATTAATATAAGTTACATCTCACTTCCCTTTGGCATCAACAAAGTGTTTTTGAATTGAATTGAATTTGAACACCCTATTCTTTTTGTAGTTTCGTTGTAATATATAGATAGATCTCATCATGTGGAAATTCAATATAATTTGTCACTCACTTTAGAAAGTGAAACTCCTATGGAATAGGTTCATTGCGGAGTGACACTTCTTTTTGTTATCATTTTGATGATTATGACTTACAGAAAATAAAAACTCAAAATTTAGATGCTGCTGTCTTTGAATGGAGATCCAATCTAGTTTGACATGAACCTGGTGGCCAACCCCCATCTCTGTGCATCTTACTCCCCAGAGACTTCATTAGAGACCCTCATCCACACACAGCATCTCCATTTCTCTTCATCTTACATGCTTCCAGTCCTGCCACCTTCAGAAGTTCTTGGATGACTTGGCTGTTGTAGCGTGTCTATGAGGGGGAGGGGGGGAGTAACGAGAACTAGTGGACAAGCTTGGAGTTGGACTGAACTGAACCAACTGAGCTGAACATCTGAAAGGCTAGTAAGATAGTTATTGATTTCAGCAGGAAGAAGGCATCTTCATGGAAGCTACAGATTATGGGGGAGGAAAAAGAAATGGTGGAGGACTAATCATACGGGCTGTCATGATTGACAACAGACTGGACTGGACATGCTTGTGTATTTCAGGTTTCTCCATAATAATGTTCAGTATCAGGTGTGAGGATTCACAGACCTGCCCCCAGCACCTGAGGCAGACTGGGAGGAAATTGAAGCCACAGACATCCAAAGGCCCCAGGAGTCCCTGGAGGATCCCTGCAAGTACAAATCCCCCTCATTCCCAGCCCACCCCTCCCAGAGAAGAGCAGAAGAGAATCTTGGGAATTTAGGTCTGAACTTTGACTGGGCAAGAACATGAACAAACATACTCCCAAAATGTTCCTGAAGCTGTTTGTTCACTGATGTTCCCTAAGAAACCTCACAAGAAGGAGCATTTGTTGTCCTGGTGAAGCAGTTGACTTGATTTCATGTGAATATGAAAGCACACTTTTTTTAGATTCAACTACAGTGCAAAAGCTTCAGGGGGCTGCTGCCACCAGCTCACAGGGTCTGCTGGCAGCCAGAGAAGTAATATATTTTGAAACAGTTCCAGTTATTTGTGAGCAGATTGTTTTTAGCCAAGAAATGGTTGTTCACTGCAACATAAACTTCATAAAATCTATTGACTAGTATTTCAGCTGCTTTGTCAACATCTCTCTGAGGACCCTATGGATTTCTTAGTAATATAATCCGAGTCAAGGACATGAGGTCAAATGATGCCAGACATGTACAGTGGTCTCTTCAATATTAACGTGATTCTAAAAGGAACAACTCTTAGATTGTTAGAAAAAATTCTGATTTGTTATCCGTCCATCCATTGTCCTCTACTTATTCAATGTCAAGTCATGAGCTTAACTGCTCACCAAACTTCCTGATGATACTGTTGGGCTCATTCTGAGACATCAGACATCAGAAATCATGTCCCTCATTTTGAGGGACATGGTCCCTTAAAATTCTGGTACTGGAAGGAACTCCTGCTCATCCTACCAAAGAAGCTCATTTCAGTCGCTTGTTGCCGGGATCTCATCCGTAACATCAAGGTTTTTATGATCATAGGTGAGGGTTGGAACATGGGATGGAATTAGATCTTTGTTTTGGGCTCAGTTCTTTATTCAATGATCATTAAAAAAAAAACAAAAAAGGTGTGATCAGGACCCATCAGCAGCCTGCAATTAACACAAACTGTGTCTCTAATTTTGAAAAATTTATTTTTCATGAGCTACAACTAGAAGATTCATTAAAATTTCAGAATCTGCATGTGCTTACTGTCTTATAGATTTTTCTCAGCAGCTGTGTGTATACCTGAAAGCTATTGAAGTGAAGAGAAAGACATTTTTCAAATGATTTTGATGGATTGTGGGGTGGAACATTTCTAAAAGAATGGGCTCTTTTGCTGCAGTCCAAACCTGTATGCTTTGAGACATTCCTTATCGATTAGAGCCTTTCAGACCTCCGGATTAAGGGAAACGGCTTCACATGTCCTCATCCACATTATCTGTCATTGTGTTCTATCTTGTGAGACGTACTCAGCTTTCTGTAAGAGGTGCAGAGGCTCCTTTATTGCACTCTGAAGGATCAGACATCTTTTAAATTGAATTAGCATGGTCTGATCTCCACAGCCATCTTGAATTTACCCTCCCTTTCCTTCTCCATCATCTCTGAATGTGTGTGAGATCAATCATGATTGTGTCCTCATTGTGTAAATGAGATCTCAGGCTGTCGTTTATACACTTTCATCACTAAAAATCTAGGAGGCAGTTTCCTTGTTGATGTCTGTGAACCTGCGGTGTTCATTCTAAACAACATAACACTTCATCCTCCACATTTATTAGTTTAGGAGAACAGTATTTAACATGAGGAGTTTCCAAAAGTGTAAAAATTTTGTAATGTTTTTTAATACTTAATATTTTCATACTTCCATTAATACTGGAATCTAATATGTAAATAGGTCAGTAATAGCTGAAGTTTGGGTTGGAGAGCAACCACTCTGTGAATCCAGGCTAGCTCTATTGGGAATATGTGCTGTTTTTAATTATCAAGAACAAAAGCCTTCCCGGAAGCCACCAATGTCACACAGACACTTCAATGTCTCCTATTAAATAAAATGAAAGTCTTTGATTAACCCTGTCAAAGTTATATGCATCTTTGATTGTCAGCTCTTCCTTTCTCCCACAGACATCATCTTACATAGCTGCTGTTAACTGGCCTGGTATTGATTCCTTGTCTCCTTCTGATGGAAATAGGCTGAGTTTTCCCTGGGGTCTTTGTCATGCCATTGGATTCAGTGGTTGCGGATCTTCCAGCCACTCACAATGAGATTTTCAATGATAAGGCATTTCAGAGAATGAATGAGTTACAATTCAATTTGATGAATGACGCAGAAAGAGTTAAGACAACTTTTCAATGTAGATCAATACAGAACATATCAGCAACTCAGCAGCTAGTCTCCTATTAATAGATGTGATCCATAAAATATTACAGAATAAACTGGCAGACATACTTTCATGGCCATATCATCTTTTATATATGGATGGTAATAAAGATTATTTCCTAAATCTAATTATATGTTTTTTCAAACCCCATAGTAAAAAAGTTTTAATGGAAGCTTTTGCTGTTTTAAATGTTAATTTGATATTAACTAATAATAAAAATTATAATAATAATACTAATAATAAACAAAAAAAGAAATGCATGTTAAATAGAATTAGGTAACAACTAAAATACATATTTAATAATTGGGTCATCTGATGTCTAGCAAGGTTTAAATATTTAAATCTATATTTAAATCTGGCCTCTAACAAGTTTGCAAGAACATCTATCATAGATTTGACCACATTTTGTAAGACAGCTATGAAGAGACAACAATATCTGGAGTCTCACTTTTAATCAACAAGACTTCCAAACAGAAAAATACGAACAGTACGATCTTATCTTCCCTTTATCTCACAACATTTCCGCTCCCCTGGCCTTCAAAATAAAAGCCTACATTATAGTGTGAAATAGTAATCTCAGCTACCAACACACAGGAACCTCTGAGCACACAGTTTCCTGCTATATAAGGCCCTTGCTTTTTATAGCAGGAAACTTTGAGGTACTGAGTGATGAAAGTGTGATAAAA